TTTTTTTTTAAACATCTAACGATAAAACTAGGTTGTACAAATATTTTGCTACGTTGAAGTTATTTAATGACTGAAATGTGGTAACATAGAAACCTAATAAGGAGTAAAGACCAAGCAAACAAATTAGATCCATTGGAGCAGTTTTAAATTACTTGGTGTTTCGAAGACCCATCCGAAGATTGAAAATGCAGCAAACCGTGGTTTGCATGAAGAAGTACGTACGTCTTTGAGACGGAAACGAAACCAAACATGATCATCTCTTGCTATATTCGCGTTTCATTCTTTTTATATTGGTGTGTTAGACTGTTTTATGTTATCGGTCAAACAACATATGCATGGTGGTGGGGTTAACCACACAAAGTCCTTTTACCACGTGGTTTTAAAACTAAACTATACTTAATTTATACACATGGATATAAAATAAAAGACATATATATGTTGAGGTAGAGAATATAATAAAGCCCTTTTTTACCATGAAGTTTCTTTTTCAAATTTTGACCGAAAAAAGAGATTCAAGAAGATCCGTTGTATAGATTATTATTGTGAAATAAAGCAAGAGTGGCTAGTGGACGATAGTGTGCTTGCACAATAGTCGAGAGAAAACACACATTATTCTGATATTACGAAGTCTAATAACACCATAATCATTCAAATTCAAGATTGATCACCAATTCGGTAGCTTGTGTAGTAGTTATACATTTATATTTGAATGCTAATCAATTAAATCAAGTTCTTTGTATGTAGTATAAACTAATATATCTTTCATATCAAAGTTTAGACTACTAAACAGGACATATAATTGCTATCTAAATAATCTAGTAGTAAAGTAGTAGCTTGGAAAACGTTTATAATAAATTCTTACCAATGAAATTAATAGGAAAATGGAGTTCTTGTAATGAGACAAGAGAGTTTTGTCCGTTTTATTTATGTTGCAAAATTGTAATACGGTTAGTTTAAGAATGTTTTGGTGGGAGAATTTGACATGCAAAACATATCTAATGTGGGCAAGCAAGAGATTTTGCTTGAAATAGACCAATCATCGAGCGATATGCGGGCAACCATTTTAATCTTGGTCCCCTTACCCTGCTTTTTCAATGTATATGATCAAAATCTTTTAAAGTTTCTTTTATTTCAAGAAATCAATCAATAGTAAGAATTTTTTGGAAACATACAAAATATATAGAGTCACAGTAATTAGTTCGTCATTACCAATATGCAAAGTTCGAAACATCTACTAGTTAACTAAGAAATTTTTATTCTAAAGCTATTTTTGGGCGGCATTCTTAGTTTTGCTTCTTTTTATAGTTCTTTTAGTTAGTGGGAATAAAGAAGAATTAAAGTGGGTTGTTGGGATTTTTAAGGTAAAAAAAAAAAACAATTGTTGGGAATTATCTTATCAGACAACTCATATATACTAGTATATATTCACCCGTTTTTTCATATAAGTTATATGTTTTCGTGAATTTTGTTAACTATTAAGTTAAGTAGCTTAAAGAAACGTATGAAGATGTTCTAGTCATTTGGTTATTGTAATTAACATTTTCATTCTGTTGAATTTAACTTGGTAGTAAATAAATATTAACTCTACAAAAAATCAAAAATTGAAATTAGTTAAATTTGATTAAAAGGGTCTTAGTGTACCTAAGTTAAAGAAAAGTATGAAGTTATATAAAACTCAATCTCAAGGTTGATATATAGGGTTGGAGAGCTCAATTTGATTGTGTAACAGCTAACTATTTCGAGTCCAATGGGGCTTCTTGTGTAAACTTTTGAGTCCACTAGCAGATTATTTATGGAACACTTGAGTCATTCAAAGTCCAAACGTCTCTTTTGCTATAAATAGTAATAAAAGTGTGGGTTGGGGGAGTACTTACTAAAAAAAGAAAAGAAAAATCTTAACCCGTTTCCACCCACATTTCATAACTAAAACTGGGATTTAGCAACTTAGCATATACACAAATTCATTTGGATTCAAAAACATTCACTTACCAATGCGGTTCATGCATCCAAAACACAATTTATTGAAGTTTTTTAAAAAAGGAAAGAAAACAAATAATGTTGATTTGGTAGCCAATAAACCAAAAGGGAGGGGGGGAGAGATGAGATGAGACAGAAGGTTGCTTTTGCAGTATTCCGGGAATGAAATGCTGTCTCTCTCCTAGGATTGGCGTGACTTAATTTTAGTCTCTGTGAGAGATAGAGAGAGATAGAGAGAGAGAGAGACTCCATTCCTCTCTTTTGTCCTTCTTGTAATTTAATTGAGTTTGTTTTCACTATTACTATCATTATATTTATCATTATACAAATATGCCTTTTTATTGCAGATTAAACAAATGAGAGAGACTCTAAATAACCTTTTTAGGACCAACCTAAGATATACATAAAAAGATCAATGAAGATCTTTGTTGGTCACTCCTACGCACATCAATGCAAAAAGAGACAAATAAAACGTCTCTTAACCATGACACAAATAAATTAAAATTACTTTCTTTATTAGATTTTGTTCAATTTAAACCCATCTATGTTATTTTTTTTTGTCTATTTTTATTTCATAGTTGCCATTTTAAAAATTTAACTTTAGATGTTTTTGTCCACAGGTTATTATTAATGTGTAAATTTTATCTTTGTTGGCAAAGAAGGCAGCTTTTTGTGCTCTTATTCCCTAATAATTACCAAAATTAAAAGAGATATGATGAGTACACTGAAGCTGCACTGTTACTGTAAAACCAAATGAGAGGAGAGAAATAAAGAAAAGAAAAAAGAGAAAGACAAAAAAGTTGAGTGAAATGCTAAAATCAAAAGCATACAAAAGCTGCTCATTTGTCCAAAAAGAAACCCATCATAAAGTAAAAGCATTATTATGAGATCAAAACCCCCCTTCGAAACATTATAACAATTTAATACTTTTTCTTTTCTATATATAAATCAAAAAAATTC